GTCTCTCGTTTTTGCATTCTTGTATTCGAATTCGTTACTTATGCTTCAAATTTTTATCCATTTCTCAAAGTTTGTTTCAGTCAACTTCTGTTTCAATCCACATTATCAGCAGATTTATTACTTGCAATTACACGAGGCAAAAAGCACATTTCACTCAAGAGGTACACGAACTAAACCTAGCTGAGGCAGCGTTAGGAAAGAAACAGATGGTCTAGGATAAGATACCGCCGAAACTTTCCTTGAAGTAAAACCAAAATCACATTCACTGCCCTGACAGTGGAATTATCCCTCATAGCTGCACAGTTCGACGACCGAAGACTGAGACATCTCAATGGCTCTGGAGGTTGCAGAACATTTCAACTTAAAGAGTTCCATTGCAATAGCAGAAAAAATCAACAAATCGAAATAGGAGGTCGTACGGCCCGGCAGAAGCTTCCAACTCATAATGTGCGTCGAGCCTCAATGTGAAACGCTTACGTCGATACTAAGTTCCCGAAGCGAAACACGCAGTCAGTGGTAGAGAGCGAGACGATGGCAGACGCTGGATTGGTACCTGTTCTTTCCTAGCCCTCGAGACGCTGATAGACGATGGTGGATGCTGGCAGCAGCATCGAAATCTATACTTCCTCGTCGCTGACGCTGCCGGACGCTCGGAACGCTAGTGGTCGCTGGTGGACGCGCCACAAATTGTGAACGCAGCCTAATACATTAAGTCTGAAGAAACACTGTTTCATTATCTGGGAGGTGAGCTAATGCTAAGTGCAGTGATCCAAGCGTAGAAGGGAACACTGACTGTATTTCCTGTTGGCGAGTAGTGCATGTATTGTTTCCTTGACTGTGTATTTGTTAGTTATGATCGTTATTGTCGCAGTTATACATGGGGGGGGGGTCAGGAGGCGTGGAATGAGCTCGCCCTGGCTGTGTTTTGTACCATTGGGGATTGGTCAATGATCTATTCAAGAAGAAAACGACCAGTGGTACAGAACGCCAGGAGTTGGCTCATTTCATGCCTCCAGACACCGAACTAGCTGGCGATATTATACGTGATAGTTTGATGTTCTTTATGTCTCCACTCGTCATTAAATACTCGGTAGTCGCCCTACCGTAGTCGCATGCGCCGCTCGTCTGCGCCCTCCCACGTATGGCCATCCGTGGGGCGCTGCTGCGGCGCCTGTATCGCGTTTCGAATGACAGGCGGACAGATAGTGAACAAGCTACCACAAAATACTAGTTCATTAGATGGTAATTGACCTCCGTCTAGCATTTTTGAATGCGCTGATGTTCTCTTGATTCGCTC